GTCTACCCCCCCCCCCTCCACTCTCTCTCTCTCTCCCTTCCTCCCCCCCCCCCTCTCTCTCTCTCTCTCCCTCCCTACCCTCCCCTACCCTCCCTCCCTACTCCTCTCTCTCTCTCTCCCTCCTCCTCTCTCTCCCTCCCTCCCTCTCTCTCTCCTTCTCTCTCCCTCCCTACCCTCTCTCTCCCCTCCCTCCCCCTCTCTCTCCCTCCCTCCCTCCCTCCCTCCCTCCCTCCCTACCCTCTCTCTCTCCTCCCTCCCCTCTCTCTCTCTCCCTCCCTCCCTCCTCCCTCCCTCCCTCCCTCTCTCTCTCTCCCTCCCTCTCTCTCTCTCCCTCCCTCCCTCCTTTCCCTCTCTCTCTCTCTCTCCCTCCTCAAGCCACAGCGCCGCACATCCGAGTCAGGCAGACTGGCGCCTCAGACGCGTTCCTTTGGTGCCCTGGTTAATGATTTTTCCCTGGACGGACACAACGTAGGGACACGTGTGGGGCCTGTTGCCTCTCTTACGACAGATTTCACGTCATTTTGAATGGTTTGATGTATTTTTATAATCACGTTTTGTTGTCTGGATAGATCATGAAGTTGAGGAAAATCTAAAGATTGATTTTCCGTCTAGGAGATAAATAACGAACGCGCGAGGTAGCTTCTGGGTGATCTTCGGTAGTTTAAAATCCTTGCGTAATATTATTATTGATGTTATTTTTTTGTCAAAATATGCGTGTAGTTTCTTGTTGCTTATTTTTTTCCTTTTGTTAAAAAACAGATGTGGATTATTCATGGATCTCGTATTTTTTGTTTAGTGAATGGTGAATCAATTGGTCCGGTGAAAGCTGTTGTCAAATACAGTAAGAAAGACCAATAATTAATTAATTTAAAGGAATTTTTGTGCCTTCGACGTCGGATTTTTTTCAGCGTCCGTTATACTGTTTTACTGCATGGCCTCTTAAAAATAATCATTACTTGAATTCGTGTTCGTTGCACAACTCTTTTGTTCTTGTACATGATATCAAATCACCGACACGCCCATTCATAAGAGATAAAAGGCAGTAGGCAGCGTTTTATTTATCAAAATGTTAATTGTTTTCTGACGAAGTTTGTCGTGTGCATTCTGTTTTCGAAACAATCATAATTTCCATAGATGTCACACTTCATTCTTAATACAGAAAGATTTCACAGCATATTCCCTGTTACATGTAAGTAATTCATCAATAATTTGAATGAAAAGTTTATAATTATGGTAAACACATCTTTCAGACAAATTTGGAAATTTGGATCTTACAAGGAAAGGATAATAAAATAATTTCATTTATTTAGTTTTGCTGTCACTTGGGCATCCATTTTCATTTTTCCTATCAGCCGTTTATGTACTTGACCAACAGATAAGATAAAACTAGTGAGAAAAATAACGTATGAAGATAATATTCGACAAGTAACCATTACGGGTGCAAGGAACACTATATACCAGCGAAGGACAAGGTATGGTAGGTATTTTGTAGTCACTACCGTCGAACTGTCTCTAAAGAAAAGATAACCACAACCACTGGCTGGCATCCAAGGCACTACATACCATTTTACTGAAAAAAAACACTCGCTGGTAGAAGACGGTCACGCTTTATGTGACTAACTACTACCCAAAATCTAGCTATTATTTGTTTTTATTGTTCGTATTTTTTGTGATATGATCCTAAGATTATCTGGTTAAGGATGTGAATGTATCTCTCTAATAAGAACTGTTTAGAGGTAAATAAAAAAGGTGTCAGGGCCTAATGTGACCTGAAGCTGATGATAATTGATAATTATAATTGTAATTCATACACCGTTTGTGTGCATATGTTGCAGTCTACATTTCTTAATAGCAATCTACGTACTTTTCATGATGTATAGCGGTCTGCATACTTTTTCATAATATGTAGCAGTCTGCACACATTTTCATAATTTGTAGCTTCCTAGATACTTTCTTAATAACAATCCACGTACTTTTCATTATAGTAGCAGTCTACATACTTTTTTAATCGAAGCAGTCTACATACTTTAAAATAATTCGAAGCAGCGAAGCAGTCTACATATTTTTAAAAATAATTCGAAGCATCTACATACTTTTTAAAAATAATTCGAAGCAGTCTACATACTTTTTCATATGTAGCATGCCAGATCCATTATCATATACTGGTTGTCATAGAGAATCATTGTTTTAAACGCCTCGGCAGTGCTACTCCGACACCCTGCAGTCAGTGTGCAGTTCTCTCCCCGGAACAGCCAAGACTCTGTTCTTTAGGAAAACAAGAAACTTCAGTCAGACAATAGCTTCTTGTTCCGAGAAAATCATATGCACGCTCTGACACACGCGACAGCCGCTTTAGCCCCGGCTTCCATCTCTCGTTTTATTTGTTACTATATTACTTTTAGGAGCGGCTACGTAACAAGTCTTTTTTTCATTATCAAGAGTAACTAAACAAAGATATAAAATACCTGCTACTACTAAAAAAAAAAAAAAAAAAAAAAAGACAAATGCTATCTACTTTGGTGTGGGAAACAAATTACTATTGAGCCAACAGTCTCATACTGGCTGGTGTTTTTTTAATTATTATCATTA